TCTAACTAGCTTCTTATTTAAAAAGCTAGAGATCTTTAAATAACAGATCTCTTTCGAAAAAAAAGAAAAGTCCTTTATGGCCTTAAAAATGTATTTAAACTCTGAGATTGTGTGATAAGTGCTATTAATAAGTTTAAGACCATCAACCGCCGCGCCGGCGCCGTTGCGTTTGGGGGATGGGGGAGTGGAGTGGGCCCGCGGCAACGATTGCCCAGGGGCCCGAGATTTCTCTCTGCGGGCCTGCAAATCACTAGATTATAAGATAATAAAAGAAATAAATACAAATTCAATTCAACTAATGGCTATCGAGTTAAGCAACATCAACATACCGATTACAATTTTCAATATATATTGTACGAATACCAAAATTCAACCAAATTTCTGGTCTGACAATATATTCTGCTATGACAGTGGTAATGTCATTATATGTGGTGATATGAATGCACACCATACCCTTTGGAATTGTGCAAAAAATAACACTAGGGGTAGTGACATTGTAAAACATTACACTAAATCAATGTTCATATTAAATGATGAATCTTATACAACTACACCCACATTAAATGGACAGCAATCTGTAATTGACCTCAGTTTTGCAACACCAGCTATACATAGGAAAATAGGAAAATGGGTAGTTGGGACGGATCCCATGGGAAGTAATCATTTCCCAATATTTATGACCATTAATTTAAGTAATATAAATTATTGTAAAAACCCACATATAAACAATACCAAACGAAACTACAAGAAAGCAAACTGGACCTTATATGTTGAGTTAATTAATAAAGAATTAGAAGCCATAAAAAAATTATCTCACAAAGATCAAGGTGTTGAACTGATAAACATGATAAACAGAGCTGCAGATAAGTCGATTCCATATGTTAAATCAAACTTCAGCGACCCAAATAAAGATAATTTCCAAACAAAGCGTTGGTGGACAAATGAGTGCTCAAAAGCAGTAGCACTAAGGAGGCTAGAATTAAAAAAATTTAAATTAAATATGACACATGAAAACTACAATAATTACCATAAAGCACAGTTAAGAGCTAAAGAGACTATTCTGGATGCAAAGAAACAAGGATGGATTAAAACATGCCAAACAATAAGTGAGAAAAAATCATCACAACACGCATGGAAAGTTGTAAGAAGTTTGAAAAACATGGACAAAAACTTTGAAAGTGTGATGGAAAATAACTCTGATTTATGTGACAGATTCATGAAACACATAGTACCTGACTACGTATCGCAAGCTCCTGAAATTATTCAACCTAATATTATTGAGACTAATCATTTACTGGAACAAGATTTTAGCCTAAAGGAACTATTAGGAGCAATCAAGCTAAAAAAAGAGAGATACTGCACCTGGAGTGGATAACATAGCATATTCTATGATAAAAAAACTACCAATAGAGGCATTAGAATTTCTGTTATCAGTTTATAATAAGATATGGAACAACAAAATTGAAATACCAGAGGGATGGAAACATTTTAAAATTATAGCCCTTCTAAAACCTAACCAAAATAAAAATGAAGAAAAGGCGTATAGGCCAATTTCATTGATTCCTTGCATATTAAAAGTCATGAATTTAATGGTCAAAAATAGACGAGAATGGCTAGTGGAAAATATGCAAATTGTGCCCAACTCACAGTACGGTTTTCGTAAAGGCAGGGGATGTGGAGACTATTTGATTAGTTTGATGTCCGATATATATACATCCTCTTCTCTCAATGAAACAACCATATTGACATCACTAGACATTTCAAAAGCCTATGATAAAGTTTAAATACCTGAGCTACTAATCAAAATGTTCAAATTCGGAATACCAAACAAATTCATCCTACATTGTCATAAATTTTTGACGAACAGAACATTAACCTTATTCTTTCCAGAACATAGTCACTCTAGGCTTACAAATAGAGGGATTCCCCAAGGAAGTGTGTTGAGCCCTACCCTATTTAACATATATATATCTGAAATAAATAAGCAACTTCCGCCATCAACAAAATCCATCCAATTTGCTGATGATGTTGCGCTATATACATCAAATAAAGATATTGACACTGCCCACGATAATATGCAAGAAGCTCAAGAACTATTGATTCCCTACATCTTGAATTAAACCCAGACAAATGTAAAACAATGTACATCACAAGAAAGAGAAAGCAATACAACTTCCAAGGTTTTAATCTAGCAAACAAAACTATTCAAATTATTCCAGTCACAGAAATAAGACTTCTCGGAATTACTATTGATAACAAACTTTCATTTAAAGCTCATATTGAAAACATTCCTTGCAAAGGAATCAAAGATTTAAACATAATAAAATCACTAGCGTGTGGCAGAAAAGGTACTCACCCAGACTTTCTCCTGCAAATCTACCAAAGTTTAGTGAGATCAAAATTTGATTATTGCTGCCATATCTTTGGACACATTGCAAAAAACACTTAACATAAACAGGACATAATACAGAACCAAGCTCTACGAATCATCACTGGAGCCTTTAAAACAACACCTATCATAGGTCTTCAAACAGAATGTTCAACACTTCCACTCAAGATTAGAAGAAATATTTTGACAGAACGTATCACGTACAAGATACTATGCAACTCTGAACATTCATCACATTACAAAATTATTTATCTAAACCTACTCACAAATATCAATAAATTTTGGAAGAAAAAGGCTAAACCAAGCTTCATAAACTGTATTAATGACATATCATCTGAACTTGACATATGGAATGAGGAAAGGGACATCTACCCAAAATATTATAATTTTACAATACCAACACAAATAATGAGGAGCAACCTTAATTGTAAACACAACATTGAAATCTGTGACATAAATAAGAAAAATAACAACCCAGAAGTAATCAAACAAATGTTTTATTGGGATATGGACATAACCTATAAGGACTTTGTTGTTGTTTACACTGACGGTTCCAAAACAGTAGAAGGAGTCGGCGCGGCTGTCATGATTCCATCTGCAGACATTGTTGAAAAATACAGTATAAACAAAATTTTTTCAAGCTATTCAGCGGAACTAATAGCAATCTTCAAAGCCATCGAGCTTATTAAACAACTTGAAGGATTCAACTTTGTAATATGTACTGACTCACAATCGTCGATTAGAGCCCTAGAGAGTACGTATAATGGAATTGAGAAGAACAGATTAACGTCAGAAATTATTTATCTTGCTATTGAATGTGAGAAAAATATAATCTTCAAATGGATACCAGGACATTGCGGTATACTACACAATGAATTAGTTGATCAATTAGCAAAAAAAGCAATATCAGAAGGAATCACATTACAAAACATACAAATACCAATCGAGGATTTTAAAACCCACAGGCAATCCCATTACGTAGAAATATATAATAAAACTTTCCTGGAAACAAACAAGGCAAATTGGTACAAAAAATCCAAAATGAGTACAAAAAGATCCCCTGGTTTAGAAACACCAAAATGAATAGATTCGATCTTATTAACATTTTTAAAACTAGATTTGGTCACGCAAACGTAAACAATAGCCTGCATAAAATCAATAGTTATTTGTGTAACTAGTGGTGAAAGTGGCACTTTGCTGCACACGAGAGCAATGTTTACGCACGAGCCGCTGGCGAGTGCGGAATGATCTCGAGTGCAGCAAAGGCCTTTTTCACTCGTGTTACACATTATATTTTTCCTACAGTCACTATAAAGCATAAATAAATAATTAGTCTTTCAAACACTATACAACACGTTTAAGTTCAGCTGGCAACACAAATGGTGCCCTAGAGAAAGTAGTGCCCGCGGTCCATATCACTCCGCTATTTTTCCTCGGCAAAAAATGTGCTCCGCGTTTGAGAATATAGTTCCGTATGTTTTTGTAATTTGAAGTGGTTTCCGTGCCTAAAAAAATGCTTTAAAGGTATTTTCTTGTTTATTAAGTTCGTAGGAATGTTTTAAAAACGTTTAAAAGAAAAGTCCAGAAAGTTCAGAAATACCGAAACTATAAACACGAAATGACAGGTTAAATCATAGTTATAATAGTCAATCAGCTGCTCATAGTATTATTATCTTTAAGTGTTGCCAACCTATTTCCAAGCGTACACGGATTACGTGCATAATAGAACCACGCTGTTTTGTGTTGTTTCGTTGGAATCCTGATGTGCGGCAAAGTATAAACCGTGCGGCAAAGTATAAACCGTACGGAAAAGTATAAATATGCAGCAATTAGCAGCTTGCTGTACTATAAACAGTACAAGGAAGCCAACTTTGTCGTGTGACTGTAGGAAAAAAGTATTTCACACCACTTTTTATGAACTGCATGGATAACAAAGTTGAAACAATAGAACACATATTGCTAGAATGTCCACAGCATAGTTACGCAAGAATAGCATGCTTTAAAAAAATAAAAAAAAAGATAACCGACAGGAAAAATAGACAAATTATTACCTTGACAGATCTAATGAAGACCGAAGACCTAGAGATATACAAAGAGTTAAATGCATTCCTTCGCATGATTAAAAGACCTCTTTAAAGACAAAAACACACTGACACACTCAAAACAAACCTAAATGTTTCTAGTGTGTTCCTGGCTGGTGGGTTCTTCATTCCGCGGTCTTATCCCCTTTCGGGTTAGGAAAGTCTGCTTGATAGACCCCAAGCAGTGAAGACACTCAACCCTGACCTTCCTCAAAATCCCATCTTACCACAGAAATATCCCAATCTTTTTGAAAAACAAATAACAAAATAATATAACCATGTGTGAATAGTAACTATGCTAACAAAATTATTGACAATTAACCATGTGACTAACAAACTGTTTCAGATGACAATACTAACCTGAAGGAAGCAACCGAAATAAAAAAGTTATATTTAAAATACTGAACCACGCGGCTGCATTGTTTTAACCGAGCAAAGCCGGCCGTTTTTGGCAAAATAGAAAAAAAGAAAAAAAAATCAGAGTCAGAGAGGATCACACACACTGCCTGTAGTAAGGTCAATAGCTAAACTCAAACTCAAATCAAATCTGCCATCAGTGCCATCTGCCCCATGTGCTTCGATTTGTATGTTTTCTACGCCAATATCAATTAACAATTGAATAATTGTTACGTTTTGAAAGGGAACAATCCACACCCTGGACTTTTTACCATCTAATAACGTCGACCTTTTTGTCAGTTAGGCCTAGCTTTATTAAGTGAATTCATGACCCGATGGCAAATGGAATCTGGGTCTGGAAACTAGGCCTATCTCGCTTAGATTCGATTCGAATCAGATTACCTACGGAATTGAAGCCGAGCACTTCGGCTACTCGCTGTTTCTCTCGGCATTTTAATTGAAGAAATTTTGGCAGTTTTTGTTGGTTTACTTCATCAAAATGGATCAAGGTACAGTAAGACAAGTTCTATCTGTTTAAGTATGTGTTAACTCTTGTCTTAAGGTTTCAAAGGGGATTAATTTGAGTTGGCCTACCTAAGTAATACAAAATTAGTTCCAAAGTAGGAACTAAATTGGCTTCATAATCATAGTAATTTGGATTGCTACTTTAAATTATCCCAATATCTGCTAGGCCTAGTTAAGGCAATTGGCCTAAACCATTAAATTATAGCATGTTGAACAAAAGAAAATTTATTTTGTGCACTAGGCCTAGGATAGCCTAGGCTTAAATTTACTTGATTTCATGAAGTTTGAGACACTTGCACGGACGCAAAAAAAATGATGCCTTCAAAAGGGGTATGGTGGGCTGCCGATACAAATTGCCACATAAGTTTCCTTTGGCCTATTCAGTCAATCAAAAATCGAGATGCTAGCCTACTGGCCTTTCCTCTCCTTCTCTTAAACCATTACTTTGCCTGGTGACCTATCTATTAGACCTTGGTCTAGACATTTGATATAGGCTATCTCTTTACCACGTTGACTGCTAACCATACGTTTACACGCTGTGTTGTAATGCACAGGTCATCCATGGAACCGTGTTGCTCTAAAGCCAACTAGCCATACTCAGTGTGGGACAGCTTTCTTCCAGGGGCTTTATCGAGCCAGTTTATTGAGTCCTCTAACCCTCCAGTACACGTGCCGCGGACTCAGAGTCTGCACATTTGGAAAAGCGTGCCGAAATAAGTGAATCTATGAGCGAATGACATGACGTGCTATTTACCTTCTGAAAGTTAGACAAACTATCATTTTAGCCTTTATTTATATAAAAACGTATTAAACCCATTTATAATCAATCAAATTGCACATTAAAAACTCTTACTTTATATATTTGTAACGCCCCAAAACCCGTCAAGGGGTAAAAACCCGATTTTTTAAAGTTTCATCTTAAATATTATAATTTTCTACGTTCGGGGTAAGCCGTGCCGCCCGCGTTGTCAGCGGCAGCGTAGGGGCAATGGTCCTACGTCATCGTAGGGGGGATGACGCTAGTTACCTACCCCGCCGCCAGGGGCGATGGCGAAGAAGGACCAGAAGAGCGGACCTCATGTTCAGTCGTCCACCCGCTACCGAACCGTCAGTACGCTTGCTGTTTGGAGACAATCCAACAGTCTATAACCTCCTAAATTCTGGTCAATTAAAGATTTCCCCCGTTCCTGGTAGAATCATAAGTCATCAGGTTAGTGTGCTACCAAATTTATTTTGTTTAATCTCATTTTTAGAAAAGTTATTATTTTTATTTTACTGTGCCGCAGTCGCGCGCACCCCGCACGCTTTTTCACGTACGAGCACACTACCTTTTGTCTTAAACCAGCTTCGGAAATCAGTTAAGTTGCCGGAACGGTTTACGTACGACTTACCCCGTTACCCCGGACCGTCCTACGTAAATTTGGTTTAAAAACCCCGTATCGACTCTGGTGATCGACCGAGTCTAATTTTCCCGACAAGTTTACTTTGGTGATTACCAAGTATAACAACCGAATCACGTTTTAGTTCAGTTTCTAATTAATTAGGCTTATTCGCATTTCGATAGGTTATTCAAAATTCTAAATTTAACTTTACATATTTTTCAAGTGGCTATGATGAGCACTTGTTGAAGGTAAGCTTAACATTGTAAGCATTATTGTTGTAATTAATATTCTGAGCCAATAAACTCGAAACGATAATTAATTAACAAACACGATAGAGCCCTGGACTATCTCATTGTAGGCTAAGCTATCTGGACAAATTTAAGGTGTGACAGAATTTCAGGTGAGACAACAATTACGTACTTTAAAATCTAATTTTGTCTCTCAACCCGAAATTTCGTCATATATTAAAAAAATATATAGCAAACAAAAAACCACCATAGGTGGCCCACGTAGCTTCCCCGTTCCGTGGAATCTCCCACGTGAGCAGTGACACCCGGAGCCAGGCTTCCTGCTACGCTACTCTTCAGGTTTCAACGGATTAATAGGGTTGAGCAGGGGAGGTTTGAGAGCAAAATAATGTTCAATCGGTTCCTAGAAAGGGGCACAAAAGTAGGCCTTACTTGCTGTTCCTTGTAAAACTGCAGGTTGGCGATAACACATAAAAAAAAAAAAAAAACAAATGTGCCCGGTGTAAAACTCTAGGGGAACGTAACTTTCCGCAGTGTGAGGGTAATGGCTGGGCGCACTAAATCAGCCAATCCCTGTCTCTGAGCCCGGAAGGTATGGTTATGTAGAGTGTGGGGGGTTTCCTCTGGAACCTCAATTGAGTTAAGGGTGTCGCCACCTTTGGTGGATAGGTTCATCCGGGCGGGTCGCACTTCTAAGCCCGCCTCCTTTTGGGAAACCCGAGGGCCTGGCAGTGATGTTGGGCTTGATGGGGAAACCAAGTAGATCAGGTGTTGGGATCAAGCCCGCTAGGGGTATCTGGGGATCTATCGCCCTGGGTATCCCTGATTTCCAAGCAATGGGATGGCCTTGATCGGGTAGTGGTGGAATAGGGGGGTGGGGGTTCCCCCGTCAGCTTGCTGGCGAACCCCTTCCTCCTGGCTTTGATGGCGGGTTTTGGCCTGTCAAGGATTGGATAGGTCCCGAGTGTTGCTTGCACTAAATGCGTCAGGGCATTTCATTATGGGCCTTCAGGTTTTCTACCTAGGCTGGTTTCAGGTGGAGTGACGCTTAAAACCAAGTAGCCGGTATCCCTGGTTAGGATTGAGGGGCAACCATCTTTCTGAAGGGTTGCTTCGGCAGCCGGTGAGCCGGTGAGTGCGTATGCTCCGACCTACACCATGGGGCCCGGGTATGTTTAATTATAGGTACCGGGTTTGTAGTTGAGGGGCTTCGGCTCTTTCGACAAAACAAAATGGAAATGGAATGGTGGAAAGCTCCGTCACATATGGAGGGTTAAGGATATATCTGAGTGAAAATGCAATCAGACACATGGGAATTCGCTTAGTCCGTATTCTAGGTTTGCTGCGGGCATTTGTCTTTGTTATTGGTATCTGCAATAATCTCTTCAATAAACCGGTTTACCATTTATTACTAATATTGCTATGACTAATCTTTTATGTGGAGACACCACAATGGTATTTTGTATGTTGCGTTAATTACTTCGATGTACAGTCGTAGGAGCTCTGTTGTATAGAGGTAATATGACCCTAGATAGAGATTGTAACTACAGGATATTACCTGTACAGTTATTGATATATGATTGCCATCAGAGACTATTCAAATTGTATTATACAGGGAGCGGCAGAAATATCTGACGGTTTTCAAGCGAGTACAGTCCGGCAGCCGAGTGGAGGGGGGTGGTGGGGAGCGGCTCATTCTCAAGGCCAAGTGACCCCATTTCAGTCGCCATGGAGCAGTGGACCGGTATACCGGTATACATCGCGCGTTTGTCGTTGAGGCGTATTTTAAAGTGGCAATTCTGTTGATACGCAACATAAGTTTCGTAGGCATTTTAATGTGGCTTGTGGGGAACCTGTCCCATCCCGAAACACCATCAAATTGTGGGTAGATACCTTTAGATCCACAGGATCAACTGCAAAACGTAAGCCTACAGGCCATCCAAGGTCAGTGAGGACGCCGGAGAACGTGGAGCGAGTGTGACAAGCTGTGCTAACAAGCTCGCATCGCCTGGCGCATAGACAAGCTGCTGCTCTTGGCATGTCTGATCGCTCTATTCGACGAATTTTGCACTCAGACCTTCACTTTCACCCACATAAAATAGCAATCGTCCAAAAACTTCAGCTTCACGATCACGCTAATCGTCAAACATTTTCAGAGCAAATGATAGATTTGATGGATGACGAAAACATTCTTGTAATGAGTGATGAGGCCCATTTTCACCTAGATGGCTATGTAAACAAACAGAATTTTAGGTATTGGTCACATGCTATTCGTTTTGCAGTTGATCCTGTAGATCTAAAGGTATCTACCCACAATTTGTGTTTCGGGATGGGATAGGTTCCCCACAAGCCACATTAAAATGCCTACAAAACTTACGTTGCGTATCAACAACAGAATCGCCACTTACACCTCAACGACAAACGCGCGATGTATACCGGTCCACTGCTCCATGGCGACTGAAATGGGGTCACTTGGCCTTGAGAATGAGCCGCTCCCCATCACCCCCCTCCACTCGGCTGCCGGACTGTACTCGCTTGAAAACCGTCAGATATTTCTGCCGCTCCCTGTACTAGTGTGATGTTGCTCGAATTTGAGCAATTGCAAAGTATTAGGCTACATGAGTTATTTCAAAACGAATAACAGTCATATTTACAATGAGTTTAAAAGAGTCAACTCAAAGATTACCGGTGTGTAACTCAGACCATGTTTATCTTCATTATTGATTAAACCTAAAGCATTCCGCCCGGTTTTCTCCTTCTCAAAATGCCTCGCTGAACAGGCAACACAGGTCATCGATAGAGGGCCAATTGAGAACGAAAAGTCGTTTTGGGGGTGATGTTAATGCGCATTTGTAACCTAATAGTTGAGATTGTCCAGGGTCAGGTACTGACTGTGATGAGTTAAGCCTATTACGCGCCACTGTTCTGTAACTGCGGTCGTTTTCACGATTACGCCTCCTGTCTATGTTTTGTTGACGTCGCGTTGGAGTCATTTAAAAGAAAAAAAACAACAAATAAACCAATTAGTTAGCTACACAAAACAATGATAAATGCACAAATTTAAGTTACAATCATGCTAACACAATCCGTCATAGTGACACAAAACAACGATAAATACACAAATTTAAGATACAACCATACTAACACGATCCGTCTTGGGGGTTATAATTACACTACTCAAATAGTAAATAAATGTAGGCCTACTCAATGCGTTTCATTGAATTGAAAAACAAAACAGCAATTAAATTACAGCTAATCTAAATGTAAACAATTATGTTCTTCTTAAGCATAACATGGGAACTTTTAAAGCCACTGGGGCAGAGCCCAAGGGACTTTTTCAAAAATGTAAGGCCA